GTTTGAATCAGATTTTACATTATGAAGAAAATGTGATAATACATTTAGTAACTTTAAAAAGGAACCATGATATACATACATATGTAGTATCTATAAAGGAAGTATAAATCAACAGGGACAAAATATATAGTTGACTTTTAAAAATAAAGACAATCTTTATGTCAAAAGCTTTAGGAAAAAAAACGGTTTTTCATTCTTACGTCTACTATACAGAGATAATGTTTTTCTGTGAATTATTTTGAGCTATTTTCAGATGTAGCAACGAAAAAGAAAAGCCTACATTGTTTTGCATTCCGATTGTCACTATGTGAAATTTACTAACTGCTAGAAAGGTCCTGGAAGTTTAACCCTCTTCTCTCTTTGCGAGGATATTTATAAAACCATCTGCTAGTTTTGTATATCCGTTTATATCTCGCCAGAAAATAATAAGCTTTGGAGAGTTTTTGTTAGACATGATTTCCTTCTGTAAAGGGCTGTCTTCAAGTGAATGGGCCTACCCATCAGGTCTGAAATGCTCTAGCCTTCGGGTGGACCAGATACATGGGCGAAGTTATTTAAAGAACTTCTAGGCCACTGACTTCTGACTCAACAGTCATTAGAGGACATGGCAGTTGTTTAATAAAGCCCATTTGTGTCCATTCTAGCCTGTAATAGGTTTGCACACAGCGCAGAAAAAAAAAGAACACACTACTTAGTTTTAATTTCACAAGTAAAGCAACTTGAGAGAGAATAAACATCAGATAAAACAACTCTTCCTTACAAAAGCAGGATGCTTTATTTTGCTAGATCCCTAGAGAAGAGAAAGTCTCAGCATTTTTTCCCATTGTTGCCCACCATTTCCAAACACTGCTCTGTTAAAATGTTTTCCGTTAACTAACATGAATAACAGTATGGCTGGTCTTCATTTAAGATTCAAAAATGAAACACAAAAACCCAGGGGAGTAGGGTGCCTCTCTGAGAGAGAAAAGAAAGGCATGAAGAATGTCAGGGAAGCAACTTTTGAGTCATTCTCTGCTAGAAAGGAGGGTTTAGGATTGCCATGCTCTGCAAATTGCAGCCTTCATGACAATGCCTGTTTGCCAAATGCCTCTTTTAACCGACATATTTTCAGCCTACCATTTGTCAAATCTCTTCTTTTGTTAACTTGTTGACGAGTTAACTTGTCAGCTTTTCAAATGGCTCGTGGTTGCTACGCATCTTCCTTGATGGGAATGTGCAAAGCGTTGAGTTACCCGCTTTGACAGAGAATCTCGTCAAGGGTCCTGACTTCTACCTGGCTGCCCTTCCTGGGGCGGGGTGGGGGGCACTACCTTCTGGAAACTTAACAAGCAGTGACTATTTCATCGTAATTCTGCTTCACAGAAATAAAATTAAGTCCAACAAGGAGACAGCCATCCTCAAAAGAAAGAGTTAAAAGGAGACTGTGTAACTCAACAACAGCATGAAATGCTGAAGTGCCGTGGAGGATGTGATCTTCACCAACCCAACTGAGCATGTTATGTTACTTTAACAGAGGGAGTAACTTGTAACAGGCAATGCAGTGACACCAGCCAGGACGTTTCCCCTGGTGGGAAGTACGACAGATGAACAAAGAGCAGTCTCCACTTGAGAAATGATGAGAACATGATTAATGCCCAAAATGTCCTTCAAAGAGCAATCTCGGAAGATCTATACCTCAGCATCCCACCTGCCACACCTACCCACACCTCCTGCTTAACCGAACAAACGCGTATCTTCATCAAGTCAAGTCATCTCTAAGTATTTTAATTCTTCCTACACTGAATTCACCGTTTTGTTTCAAGTGTCCATATCTCCTCTTGGAGTCCATTAGAGCCCGTAAATCAGATCATTCATCTTCTCTGCACTAGATTCAGAAAAGCCTCAAGGATGTGCTTAGAGCATGAAGGTCACGGTGAAAGTCAACCACAGACGTGGATGAAGAGAAAACATCCCGGTGAGTTCTTTAGTTCTTCACTGCTCTCATTCAGGTAACAGGTTAATTGGTCAGGAAAAAAGGAAGAGGTTCGCTGGTATTTTAAGTACCAAAACAAAATGATGCTTTCATGGTATTTTAAAGATAAGCACATACACGCACAAATGTTATCAGGATGTTTTTATCAAAGGGGGTGTATGTAGCTTAAACAAAAGAGACAAGTGACAATTAGGAACAATAGGTTTTAGAACAGAGGATCTAAAACTAAGGCACTAAATGTGAAATTTGTTTTGAAAAACAAAACAAAACAAAACAAAAAAATCATCAAAAAAAAAAAAACGTAAATTGCCCTCCCTAAAGGCTGCCACATGTGAAACTTACAAAAAGGTAGCCAGGTACCTGCTAATGAGAATAGCATTTTTTCAGATAGTTAGGATATTAAAAATCCTCTAATTGTGAAATGGCTGCTTAAAACAATTATAGAATTAAGTTGGGTTCTAATTACATGAGGATATACTAATATAGTATAGATATATTCATATAAAGGAGGACCTTGAATCAGCGTACATTAATCTGGTGAAACAATGGTGACATTTTTGTACAGTGTTTTTTTTTTTTTTTAAAAGACTAACAGTTTGACCTAGTGTCACATTTAGCTAATAATCCATATTTTTGGCTAGTATGTTCGATAAAGAAGTGATGAGAGCTACTATGGGAGAATGAGAGAAGGACAGAAAAACTGAAATATACAAAGTAATGAACACGCTTTTCCTTTCCAAGGAGGAGAGAAGGGGAGAAGAACTCAGAACGGGTCCCTGCCTGGAGGGGCCCAGGTCAAATACGTCCTCCCAGCAGAGACTCATGTAGACACCCCTAAAAGCAGCTACTGGGGCACCAGCTGGTCCCCTAGAAAGGGGACAATGGCTCTCCTATGCCTACTTTAGCTTTTAAATGTTGATTTAACTGTATAAAAGGTAATCCAGTGCTCCACAAGGAAATTAAACAGAAAAAGTAAACTAGCAGACAAATGGCCTAGATTACTCTAATCCCTCCAAAAGGATGCTAATAATAGAGATAAAAATATATATCAAATATGTTACTGATTGAAATGTTATGTCACATACTGTTCCTGTTCAAATAACCTACTAATTAACTTGGCTAAAGCAACAACCTTCTCGCTTATCCAGAATCCTAATCATGTTCGAATAAATAGAAATAGCTTGAAATAGCGGATCATGGTGATGAAGCGCCTAATAATGACTCTGAGGTAAAATAAAATCCATAAACTCAGAGTTTAATCTTTTAAAATGAAATTAAAATGAGAAGCACTTTCACATGCAATGTATTCACATCCTCTGTAAATTATAAAATTCATCTATGGTAAATCAAAAAATTGTTAACCAGAATAATAAACAGAATTTCCTTCCATTCTGGATGGCTGGGAGCTTGTTCGTGTTATTTTTCTGTCTGCTATCACATGTGGAATGATTTTTAAAAGATAGCCTACAAACCAGGCTCGAAACAGCTTCCCATTTACTAATAAAAAGTTAGAGCCCTATCTAAAACTCACGATAGCCATGATTAACAATTTAGGAGGAACAAGGTAAACAATAATCTGCTAATTTGCAATTATATTTTCACACATTTTTGTAATTAGCTAATTTCCAAGGGTGAGCTATATTCTTATTTTAAAAAAATGGAATCTGTGATAAATGTACACACCTATATGGCTTATGAAATTGCTTGCTAACACACATCCTATACTTATTTCATTTTACCATGAAGGTAAGTCTTAAGACTTACATTGCAAATGTCATGGTCTTATCCAAAAAAAAAAAAAAAATCTTAACCATGCTTTAAGCTGCTTTTCTATATGAGGATATGGCATCATTCTGGCAATTTGAGTACACTGAGTTTTCGGTTCACTGTTCTTCATAGCTTATGTTCTCTGTGATTCCATCAAAGGGAAATACAACCACAGCACGCCCCAAACGTCTGAGCAGGAGCGTGGCGCTCAGGTGGGAGCTACAGAACCCCAGGGGCTGTTTCTAGGTGGAGCTTCTGTCCTGACCATCACTCTGGACTGTTGGACGCTGGACTCACTGGCCCAGCACGGATTCAGTGAGAGCTATGTTGAGTGTAGGGCATTTTTTGATATCAAAAAAAAAAGGAAGAAAAAAAGAAAGAAATTCTTTACTGACTGTGACCTTTAATCATCCTCTACCTTTTCTCCAACAGTTAGGATGTTAAATTCTCAACAGTTGGTGGCAGACACAAAATCAGATTCGACCCAACTATGGATGTTCTCAAGTCTTTTTCGTAGATGCTTAAGACCATGCTATGTCTTAGCTTTTGGAGTTCAGTTAAGCATCGAGATAAATGACAGTTTCTCTGGGGGCTGCAAAAGCTTAGGTAAAGTGGGATGTAACAGAATCAGGGGGAGGTGGCAGAATTCCTCCCAAGCTGGAAACACTGAAGAACACAGAGGTGGTAACAGGTAGGTACTGGGGACACTTTCCCACGCAGGCCCCTTAACCTGCAGTGAGGACTTGAGACATTTTGATGCTGTGACTTTAAGCTGGCAGATTCCTCCTCCTCCACTCCGCCTTCCCCTGTTCTCTTACAGAGATTATCATCTCAGTAGAGTAAAAGCTTCTAAATAATAGAATGATGCTTTCCTAGTACTCTCTATTGATTTTATAAATAAACTGCTTAACAATTTTGTTCAAAACACTTGTAATTCTTCGCATTCACAGAAGAAAAAAAATATGTTCTGATCTTAATATGTCTGGTGAATTTCCTTAGTGCCATGAATATTCAACTAATTTAATATCTCGAAAATTCTCTAAACAAAGTCGGTAGAAATTCTCTTGAAAATGTCAATTAAAAATTATCTACAAATAACAGAGACAATTACCACATGTGGTTTTTAACAGAGTATTTTTAAGCGCTATGTGTTAAATGCCACCCAAAGGACGATGTCATGTGATCGTTTTTTAAAAAATGGCATAGTTATAAATACCATAAAATTATAGTCTGCTATTTTAGAAAATCAGAGTCTACTTACTACTTGTATGTCTCAGAACGGATATATTCAAAAACATGGGACACGCCAAGCTGGAACTGGTCAGCAATTGGGGTAACCCAGGGATTATTCTCAGCTTTGAATACTTGCTTCTGACCAGTTAAATCCAAATTTCCTGAAAAGATGAAGAAAAAAAACAAAAGGTGAAGGTCACTGCATTCAACACAGATTAGATCTAGAAGTCCTGCCTAGTAACCACAGCACAAGCCTAAGTACCTTTTCTCTCATCTGATTTTTTAAAAATTTCTTATGCCAAGTCATCACTGGTCCACAAGCAATGCTGGTGACAGGACCCTAGCCCAAGAAGTTAAGACCAAAGGGAGGAAGAAGGAAGGAAGGATGGAGAGAGAAAGTGGATGAAAGGAAGCAAACCCGGAAGGATTTTTATAGGTATTTGCTACAGAGGCTAAAAATGACTTGTTTGAGATAAGTAATAACATGAAACCTCCCTGAAATCCCATCCTGACAATGTCAATGTGCTCCATTGCTTGTCCTATTCGATCTAATAAGCCCAGTCTCATCAACAGCACTTTTTCATCAACCAGAGCAGAATAGGAACGAAGCAAGACAAGAATATTACCCAAGTAAAATTATTATTATACTACTCGAGCAGCATAAGCACATCTCAGAATCAGCACTAAATGAATCTCATTAACATAGTAATGATAGGGACTAACATTTCTTTAGCTCTAATTAGTTTATAAACTAACTTTTAAAATCATTTCCTGTGGGGGTGGGTAGGGTGGCAGGCTAGAAGCAGCCCATGCGCGCCACTCTCTAGGAGAAGATCAAGAACTGCAAGTAGATGCCCACCTACAGAAGGACCCTCTTAGAGTGGGCGTGGCAGATCATCAGAGAACCAACGGGAGACACTCAGAGTGAAGGAGATGGGACAGGGAGTTCCACTCGTCAGGATCAGAAGGTACCTGGGGGAGACACCTAGGCGTGGGGAAGGGATAAAGGAGGGTGCCCCAGGGCAACACACTGCCCTGCAGATACTGCCAATGGACCTGTGGAGGCGCCCCCTCCACCACTGCAGGCCTCTGTGCTGATCCGGAAACTTCCTGGAGAGTGTACAGTGAAATTGACACGGAGAGCAGGCTCAGCAGGGACCTGCCGGCTTTGGTTCTCGGGTTGCTGCAGCTGATGACACTCTGAGCCCCCAGGTGCAGAGCTTCCAGTGTACAGGGTGACTGGCTTCGCTGCAGCACTCACAGGTCCGTGACTGGAAACCAAGAGTCCTCAACCCCCGTGGTCCTGTGTGCCAACCAGTGGAACAAGCCTCCATGCCCATGCCACCGTGTGCTATTGTGTGGAGGGCCACACTCCTATGAACCTGGGTGCTGAGCAGAGGTCTACACCTCCATGAACTTGCAGATCCACATGCTGTGTGGTAGGCCATTGTTCTTGGTGTTGCACCCCAGCCTGCAGGCCATGCCCCTGTGACCTCAAGTGCCAATTAGCAGAACAACCCCCCCGCCCCACGCACCAGCTGGTGGGCCACGCCCCTGCGGCACCAAGTGATGCCAAGCCTGCGGTCCAGCTCTCCACCACAGACCTGCTAGAGACAAGACGCACCTCCCACCCCAAACTGCCATTACACCAAGACCTGGATGGAGTGGATACCTGCAGCCCTAACACCAGTGGCTACCACCTAGGTAGCCTCACCAACTAGCCACTGCTACCACTGTGGAGAGACCTGGGTAGAGCAATCTCCCACAATGCCCGCCTCGGTGGAGAGGGACTCACCCAGGCCCCTGCCTGAGCTTCCAACAGTGGTCTAGAGACCAACCCACCTTTTCACATGAAGAGTCCTCAGCACTGGCCCAGGTCCCGCAACCTGCCTAGTCACTGGTCAAGGTCCCATGACACACCTAGGCACCCGCCAAGGTCCCACGACCAGCCCTGCTGCTGACTGCAGTCCCGTGACATGCCCAGGCATGTGCCAGGATCTTACAACCTGCACAGACGCTGGACAAGGTAATGCCACTAGTCTCTGTGAAGAGGGACTTGGCCGAGCTTACAACAGTGACCTGAGGACCAACCCACCAATTTGAATGAATATCCCTCAGCATCAGCTTGGACTGTGAAAACCACAGGGATTGGGAGGACGCAGGAGAACACCTGCGTTACGGGGTCTCAGTGCATCCGCCCCTCTCCCGAGGGGTCAGTTCTCCAGAGTGCAACGCAAAAGTGCTATCTAGGAATTTCTCCTCCTCACTAAGTAGGAGAGTTCCCAGCAAAGGAGAACAGGAGCGCTGCAAACCTATCAGCCCTAAGCTGAGAGAAGACATTTCAGATGAGAAAAAACCAGCAAAAAAATTCTGACAACATGAAATAAACAAGCTAGTTTGACACCCCCTAAGAATCATAACAGATGCACAGTGATTCACCCGAATCAAAAGGAAACTGTTGAAATGTCAGAAATGGAATTCAGAATGTGGATGGTAAAAAAGATGAATGGAATTGAAGAGAAAGTTGAAAAACAACACTAAGAAACCAAAAAAATATTTCAGGACATGAATGAAAAATATGAAAAACTCACTAAAGAGATAGACAACATAAGAAAGGATACAGCAGAACTTAAGGAAATGAAAGAGTCATTTAGGGAACTACAAAATACAGTAGAAAGCTTCAACAGGCAAGACCTAGCAGAAGAAAGAATCTCAGAGCTTGAAGAAAAGACTTTTGGACTAATCCAGTCAGTCAAAGGTGCAGAAAAAAGAATAAAGAATGAATAATCACAGAGAGAAACATGGGACTATGTGAAATGAGCCAATATATGAATTATAGGTATCCCGAAGGGAGAAGAAAAAGCAAAAAGCATGGAAAACCTATTCTAGGGAATTATTGAGGAGAACTTCCCTGGTAATGCCAGGGATTCAAATATCCAGATATAAGATGGTCACTGAACACTGGGAAGATTCACAGCAAATAGGACATCACCAGGACACACAGTCATCACCCTGGCCAAAGTGAAAATGAAGGAGAAAATTCTCCAAGCCCCAAGATGATAGCAATAACTAAACTATAAAGGAAAATCCATCAGGCTGACAGTAGCCTTCTCAGCAGAGACCTTATAAGCCTGAAGCGTTTAGGGACCCATTTTTAATTTTACCAAACAAACAACTGCCAGCCAACAATTTTGTATCCTGCATAACTAAGTTTCATATATGATGGCGAAATAAAGACTTTTCCAGACAAGCAAACACTAAGGGAATTTGTCAATACTAGACCTGCAATACAGGAAATTCTGCAAAGTGCATTATACATACAACAACACAATAGATACCCATCGGTGTAAAAACACCCAAAAGTTATAGCTCACAGCTTTTATAAAACAATAGCATAAGAGGGAAAACAATAAGGTATCATCTAACATGATGAATGGAACAGCAGCCCACATATCAACATGAACAGTCTGAATGCCCCACTTAAAAGACATAGACTGGCTGAATTGAAGAAAAAATACAACCCAAGTATTTGCTATCTCCAGGAAACACATCTGAACCACAAGAACTCACACACAGACTCAAGGTAAAGGGATGGAAAAAATATTCCAAGCAAATGGAAACCAAAAGCAAGCAGATGTAGTCATTCTCGTATCAAATAAAATAGACTTTAAAATCAATAATGGTTAAAAAAAAAAAAAAAAGACAAAAATAGTCATTATATAATGGTAAAGGGAGCAATTCAATAAGAAGACATAACAATCCTAAATACGTATATGACCTAAGATATATATGGAGCTCCCAGTTTCATAAAGCAAATTCTTCTAGATCTTAGCAAAGATATTAAACAGTAGCATCTCAATTCCGAGGAACTTCAAAACTCCCCTGATAGAACTGGATAGAACATCAAAGCAGAAAATGAATAAAGAAACACTGGGCTTACAGGACTCTAGAACAAATGTACCTAACTGACATCTACAGAATATTTTTCCCCCAAACTACTGAACACACATTTTTCTCATCAGCACATGGAACAATTTCCAAGATCGATCATATCTTGGGCCATAAAACAAGCCTTCGTAAATTCAAAAAAATCAAAATCATACCATGTATCTTCTCAGCCCACAGTGGAATGAAACAAGAAATCAATTTGAAGAGAAACAGTCAAATCTACACAAAGTCATGGAAATTAAAAAACTGTTGCTGAATGATCATTGGGTAAATGATGAAATTAAGGTGGAAATCAAGATTCCTCAAACTGAATGACAAAGTGGACACGAGCTTTTAAAATCTATGGGATACAGAAAAAGCAGTCCTAAGGGGAAAGTTCATAGCCTTTAATGTCTACATCAAAAAGACAGATCACAAATTAATAAGCTAATGTCACATCTCAGGGAAATAAAGAGGAACAAACCAAACCCCCAAAGTCAGCAGAAGAAAAGAAATAACAAAGCTCAGAGCAGAACTAAATGAAATGGAAACCAAAAACACAGTACAAAGCATCAATGAAACAAAAGGTTCTTTGAAAAGATACACAAAATGACAGACCACCGGCCAGTTTAACCAGAAATAGAAGGGAAAGGACTCAAATAAGTTCAATCAGAAATGAAAAAGGAGACATCACAATTGATACCACAGAAATATAAAATGTCATCCACCAATACTACAAAAACCTCTACTCAAACAAACTATAAAGCCTAGAGGCAATGGATAAATTCCTGGAAATGAACAACTTCCCAAGGCTGAATTAGGACAAAATATGAATAGAAATCTTGAACAGACCAATAACGAGCAGTGAGATTGAAGCCGTAATAAAAAAAACTCCTGACAGAAAAAACCCCAGATCACACAGATTCACAGCCAAGTTCTACTACACCTACAAAGAGGAACTGGTACCTATGCTATAGAAACTATTCCATAACATCGAGAAGGAGGGAACTCCCTACTTCATTCTATGAAGCCAGTATCACCTTGATACCCAATCTAGGAAAGGATACAACAACAACAACAAAAAGACAACTAAAGACCAATATCTCTTTTGAACACAGATACAAAATTTTTCAACAAAATACCAGCAAACTGAATTCAGCAGCACATCAAAAACGTAATTCACTATGATCACATGGGTTTCATCGCAGGGATACAAGGATGGTTTAACATACGC